AGTAACTATGGCTGATCGGAGATGTCAGGACAGTTATGGCCAGAGACATTCATGATCATGACATAAGAACTAAGGTTTAGAAGCCAACTTGAATTCATTGGCTTGCTTGAGGGAAACCTTCCAAGCACTCAATTTTATAAGTTCTCCCAATTCAATGCAACCCCACATATCTTAATCCCTAATATTTAGGGATTGATATACAACATGTTAAAGCATATTTAGGATGAAAGGTATAAAAATCAAACTCAAAATTCTAGCTTTGCAGGGTCGAGTTAGACCCAACCCACACATTCTAAGAATTTCCAGACACAACTTGAGACGATCCAATCAAGCTTGTGAATAGAGTTTTATTCACTGCCTAACTCAACAAACTTAAGCATTGTTGATATTTGTATATAGAATAAGAATATATCCTAGAATATTCCCTTGTATATTCTAGGATAGGATTAGGATGTAATTAATATTGTTGATATGTAATTCTCTCTATGTATATCATTTTTCACTGTTATTCAACACACAGTTTAATCTAAGTGTCTCTTAGTCTCTCTTAATTCAACATGGTATCGAGAGCTTACTAAAAGACAAATATTCATCGTACGCTATCTGGTGACCCACTGTCTTCCTGTGAGAAATTTTCTTCTGCAAACCGTGTCATTATTCCGGTTTGCCTCATCTTTTTTTTTCAAAAAAAAAATTCTAGCAACCTCTGTTGCCGCACTGTTCACGAGGAAAAAAATTTCCAGAGGTTTGGCCTAACTCAACCCTACAAAATCAGCTTGGGCATACTCGATAAATGCAGCTCATTGATAACCCAGACACTATGCAGACTTCACCTTCTCTTCAGAACCCTACGCCAAGCTACGAGGATTTTCTCAGGTGGTGTCAGACTAACCAGACCTCTGGTTCAACGGCTTCGATTGCACACACTGGTAATTCATCTGTTTGCGTCTCTCAATCATCTCCTCTTGGTCCTTGGGTCCTCGACTCTGGTGCGTCTGATTATGTTACCGGTAATAAAAATCTTTTCTCTTCCCTTTCTACCTCTGGTTTCTTATCGAGTATAACTGTCGCAAATGGTTCTCAAACTCGATCCCAAGGGATTGATATTGTTCAAATTCTACCATCACTTTGTTACTTTTGTCCTATATGTACCTAATTGCCCATTTAATCTCCTGTCAGTCAGTCGTTTAACTCGTTCCCTTTATTATTCTATCACTTTTACAAACAGTAATGTTACCCAGCAGGATCGGAGTTCGGGACAGACGATTGACATCGGATGTGAGTCTCAAGGCCTCTACTACTTCGGGACAGACGATTGACATCGGATGTTACCCTTTCTACCTCTGGCTTCTTACCGAGTATAACTACCGCAAATGGTTCACAAACTCGATCCCAAGGGATTGGTATTGTTCAAATTCTACCATCTCTTTGTTACTTCTGTCCTATATGTACCTAACTGTCCATTTAATCTCCTGTCAGTCAGTCGTTTAACTCGTTCCCTTAATTGTTCTATCACTTTTACTAACAGTAATGTTACCAGGCAGGATCGGAGTTCGGGACAAACGATTGACATCGGATGTGAGTCCCAAGGCCTCTACTACTTCTCTACGTCATCTACCACATGCTCCACCACAGATTCTCCACTCATTATACATGCGCAGTTAGGTCATCCAGGTCTTACAAGCTACAAAAATTGGTGCCCAGTTTATCTAAATTATCCACTTTACATTGTGAGTCTTGTCAGTTAAGAAAACATACTCGTAGTCACTCCGATGTTTGGGGTCGATCGCGTACCGTGTCTACTTTTGAGTCTAGGGTGTTTCGTAACGTTTATTGTTTTCTATTTTTGAACAATTTTATCGAGAAATAACCCAATTTGGTCTGTCCATTCGTACCTTAAGAAGTGACAATGCACGTGAATATTTATCCCAACAATTTCAAACTTTTATCTCATCCAATGGTATTCTGCACCAAACATCTTGCCCTCATACACCTCAACAAAACGGGGTAGTCGAACGCAAAAATCGGCATCTCATAGAAACCACTCGGACCCTACTTCTCAATGGTAACGTCCCTCTTCGATTTTGGAGGGATGTTGTGCTCACGGCATGTTACCTCATAAATCACATGCCCTCATCTGTCCTTAATAATAAAATCTATCATTCAATCATGTTTCCAAACTCTCCTATTTACCCAATTCCTCCTTGAGTCTTCGGGTCTACGTGTTTTATGCATAATCTCTCCCCTGGTCTTGATAAACTATTAGCTCGATCACTAAAGTGTGTCTTTCTTGGTTATCATCAATCCCAAAAGGGTTATCGTTGCTACTCACACTCTGCAACGATATCTGGTCTCGGCCGATGTTACCTTCTTCGAGTTAATGCCATATTTTGAGTCCACCCAAGTCACTCCGGAACCCCTTCAAAAAAGTACTCGTACACCTCTTCCGGAAGTCCCATTTTCCATTATTCCCCATCATTCTAGGGAACCTATCCCACTAGAAACCCCTACGGTTGACCCCCCTACTTCTCGCCCACTTCAAATATATCAGCATCGCCAACCCACATATGTCGTACCTATCCCTGAGGCAGTACCCGTCCCTGAGGTCATTGCAGATTCTCCTCCGACGCCTTCGCCATCATCGGATCTGATCCTGCAACCTGAGTCTGATCTTTCGATTGCCCTTCGCAAAGGTATACGTCAAACACGAAATCCTTCTCCACATTATATTGATTTATGTTATCATCGTCTTTCTCCTTTGCAGTATACTTGTTTGCCCTCTTTGTCTTCTGTTTCTATTCCTAAATCTCCAGGTGAAGCATTATCTCACCCCGAGTGGAGGCAAGCAATGATTGATGAAATGTGTGCTCTTCAAAGCAGTGGTACCTGGGAACTGGTTCCTCTACCCCTTGGAAAATCTTTAGTAGGTTATCGTTGGCTTTATACAGTAAAGGTTGGACCAGATGGTAAGATTGATCGTTTTAAAGCTCGCTTAGTAGCCAAAGAATACACTCAGATTTTTGGGTTGGATTATAGTGACACCTTCTCGCCTGTAGCCAAGACGGCATTTGTTAGACTCCTTCTAGCCATTGCAGCCATTCGACATTGGCATCTTCATCAACTTGACATCAAAAATGCCTTTTTACATGGTGATCTTGAAGAGTATATATGGAGCAACCACCTGGGTTTGTTGCTCATGGGGAGTCCTCGAATATGGTTTGTAGGGTACACAGGTCTCTTTATGGTCTTAAGCAATCTCAAAGAGCTTGGTTTGGCAGATTCAGCATTGTAGTACATCAGTTTGATATGGTCCGTCGTGAAGCTGACCACTGTATTTTATCGTCACTCAGCTCAAGGGTGTATCTATCTTATTGTGTATGTAGATGATATTGTCATAACTAATCAACAAGGAATACTCCAGTTAAAACAACATCTCTCAAATCAATTTCAGACAAAAGGTCTTGGTAAACTCCACCACTTGGGAATTGAGGTGGCCCAATCCAAAGATGGCTTGGTGATTTCTCAGCGGAAATATGCTATGGATATTTTGGAAGAAACAGGATTGTTAAATGCAAAACCAGATGATACTCCTATGGATCCAAGTGTCAAACTACTACCCAATCAGGGGGAGCTTCTATCTGACCAAGAAAGATACAGGAGATTAGTTGGAAAGTTGAATTATCTCACAGTCACTCGTCCTGACATTTCTTTTGCAGTTAGTGTGGTAAGTCAGTTCTTAAATTCCCCTTGTCAGGAACACATGGATGTCGTTATTTGGATTCTAAGTTACATCAAATGTGCTCCAGAAAAAGGTCTTGTGTATGAAAACAAAGAACATACTCAAATTGTTGGATACTCCGATGTTGATTGAGCAGAATCACCCATTGATAGAAGATCCACCTCGGGGTATTGTGTCCTTGTTGGAGGAAACCTCATATTCTGGAAAAGTAAGAAACAAAATGTTGTTGCCAGATAAAGCGTTGAGGCAGAATATAGGGCCATGGCAATGGCAACTTGTGAACTTATTTGGTTAAAACAGTTGCTCAATGAACTTCGAATTGAAGATGCAAAACCAATGACACTTATTTGTGATAAACAAGTTGCATTGCATATTGCTTCAAATCTGGTCTTCCACGAGAGGACCAAACATATTAAGACATACTGTCACTTTGTCAGAGAAAAGATCGAATCAGGCGACATCGCGACAAGCTTTGCCAACTCTAATGACCAAAATCTCTACGAAGCCCCAGAACCAACTATATATGTAACAAGTTTGGTGCATTTGATTTATATGCTCAAGCTTGAGGGAGAGTGTTGATATTTGTATATAGAATAAAAATATATCCTAGAATATTCCTAGAATATTCCCTAGTATATTCTAGGATAGGATCAATATATTTTTAGTATGTAATTAATACTGTTGATATGTAATTCTCTCTATATATATTATTTTCCGTTGTACTATTCAACATACGATTTAACCTAAATGTCTCTTAGCCTCTCCTAATTCAACAAACATCTATAAGGCTCTCGGTGCCCAAGAAGCTAAAGCAGTTAGTTAGGCTCTGCCAGCCTGGCACCAGTCAGTTAGGCTCTGCCAGCCTGTTCATGAGCAACCTGGCACTGACAGATATAAACTGTCTTAGAGTTAGTTTTGGGAGTGTATGTCAACTCCAACGTGAATGTAGGAATTGATATGAATAATTGATTTTACAATTCTCTCTATTTTCTATCATTCATATTACAATTAAGCATTGTGTTTCACATGAAAGACAGTACCGTAATAGAACTGTAACTCTCAGACAAAAGAAGTAATGCAATACAAAAGACATTGCTTTGTCCATTACCATGACATCGTTGACAGTTTGATATAGAAATAATATCTTTGAAGTAACCAGAATGAGATAATCATATCAAATAACAATATGATACCGTGGCATAAGCAGAAAAACAATGATACATTTAAAGAGGAATATTAGCAAAAACTTACAATGTGTGCACTACGTCACTACCAATTTTCTTTCATGCAGACAATCATCATTCTTCTCTTTATCAAATGCAAACTCAAGTTGTTTCTCCACAGATTTGACAACTGCTGTTCGTTTGGTTCTTAACCGGTATGGTGGAGATGCACTGAATGCCTTATTATCAAGAATAACACTCTTATTGTCACGGCTTGCGGGACTTTTGGACAACACCCGAGCTTCAGAACCAGAATTATTCTTGGTTCTATCTGGTTCATTTGAAGCATGTGAATCAATGTTGACTTTTAAAACTTTACTAGGAGAAGTGAGTGGTTGGACTCCAGTTCTTCTCCGCCTATATATGGAAGGAGTATTTGGATAAGTATCAGCAGCCTTTCTCAATATTGATTCAGGGGTCTCCGTACATAACTCACTAGCCCTCGCACGAGGTGGAGTGATGAAACCCATGGGTGGCAACTTAGAACTGTAATCATTCTGCATGCAGAGGATACTTAGATGAAGAGAATCTAACGGAACTGAACCAGCTAAAACTGGTGGCTCGTAACACAACGAACCATAATTCTGATTTTCTTGAGCGGATTTTCTGATTAAGCTGCTACTACTATTGCTCATTTTACCATTGTTTAAATAATGCTGAGTTATTAAGTTTCCATTGAGTGCGGAATTCTCATTATTTGGCCCATAAGTTGTTCCAAAATTAGCTCTTGATATATGTTCTGAGTTTCCACAGCTAAGATCAACATTGGATGGTCCAGGCTTGCACTCTACACAGTCAGAATCAGCAGATTCATTTCCTGGGACACTTGAAGAATCACCAACTTCTCTAGCTGTTCCTGAGGACTCAAACTGATTCTTGCCACTGTCATCATGCTTACTAATGGCAGTAGTTTCAGAGGATGTTTCGACAGCTACATTTAATTCTATATTAGATGAAACGGGTATCGTTTTCGTAGTAGAACGTCTAAATGTATCTTTGGCAGCAAATAATGGATTGTTTTTTGGAACCGGTGGAAGTTTTCCTGTGGCTAAGTAAAAGTCCAACTTCTTCTTTAAAGAACTATTCCAATGGTTCTTTATTGCATTATCAGTCCTGCAGCAGAAAATTTGCGAAGATGAATGTTAGCAGCTGTCTTTAATATTAATAAAATGGCATGCCATTTCACATCACAAAATATATCTTACAACTTGTTCACAGAGGTTGTATGCCCAACCTAATGTCCAATATTTTTTGACTCAAACATGACTTATAATACCCATGTAGTATTTTTTTTTATCTTCATTTCACAGGGATTCAACTAACAAAATGGATTTTTTGTTGAACTATAACACTGGTACTTGCATAAGATGTGTTTGAACAACATAGAGCAGATAGGCCTGCTCCAGAATAAGGAAGGTGTGCAAATCATTAGAACTGTGTTGTGTTTGAATTTGTAAAAACAAGGACGTCGAGGAATAAATCTCAACACGAACTTGCAAAGGGAACTACGGATTTCAAGAATTTAAAATAAAGACCAATACGGTTTCTGTAGATGCAAACTTATTGTTGCTGACTACAGTCCTTCACTGTAGAATTTTTCTTCTTCTCAATGTTTGTGGGACTAAGACTGGAGCTGGAGGTATGTTAAGTGAAAAAACATTGAAGACAAAGAGTGCCGAAGAGAGATAATTTCCCTCTACTTGGCAGCTTTGCTTCTTTTGTTTTCGGCTGTTCTCTTTCTTGTTGTGTGAAGTCTTGTGTTAAACAAGATTCCTATTACCATCTCAGTAATTTTTCTAGTTATCTAAATATTTCTCCATTTATTAATACAAAATATAAGTATAAATAATTAAGAGAGAAAGAGAGAGCAAGGCAACTAAATCCAATACCACCATCACTACCAAAGTAGCAGAAGAAAATGAAATCATGTGGAAAATTTATGGTGGACACTAATCAAAGATGATACTTCACTCACAAATATCGTGGTAATGGAAAGATTCTTTATTCCATGATTTTAGCTATGACCTTAATTTCCTTTATAACAACTAAATCCAAAAATGAGAAAGCATACCTTCCAGGAAGGACCTTAGCTATTTCAGCCCATTTGTTCCCATGTATATGATGAGCATTCATCAAGGCTAGTTCCTCATCCAAAGTCCAAGCATCCTTCTTTATTCCAGGATTAAGATGATTGTGCCACCTGAAAACATTGGAAAAGGAAAAACCAGTATGATTTGAGTTGTAAATTTTAAAAGCAAGTTATACTAATTGAGTCATCAATTTAAAATTGTAACATTGAGATTTTTTTGAAGATCTTCAAAAGTTGATGATGATGTGCAAGAAACAGATCTACAATTTATATTTAATGATATGGATAGCATCTTTTACCAGTAAAAAGTATTTGAAAAAGATGCACAAAAAATAAATATGACTCGAACATTGGGTAACCTACCTCTCTCGACACTGTTTCCCTATTCGACCAGGCAAAGACTTGGCAATCAAGGACCATTTTGTAGGCCCGTATTTTGACACCAGTTCAACTATCTTATCATCCTCCTGTAAGCCAGGCAAGAGAAGTTAGGGTTAGAACAAAACTGTAGAAAAATTCGGAAAGAAGAAGAGGCCTAGGTTTTAACCTCCTGTGTCCACGGTCCTTTAACAAGATCTGGATTAAGAACCTTTTGCCATCTGTGCAGACATTGAACTTCTGATCTATCAGGAAAAAACTCGGCTGCAATCCACATTTAAAACCAGTGTCATAAAATGAGCATGCTTTTGCCAAAACACTTAGCATTGAGGAACACGGACAAATTACTATGTTCAAACACATAATGATTCTCCGTCACAGAACAAATTAAAACAAATAACGAACGTAAATAAACATTTAAAGCTCTAATTCTAGTGGCTTCCATTATAAATTCTGTATCCTATAGAAATATAACTAACAAAAAGTATTCTTCAAGCCTGTAATTATAGAAATGGGGAGACTCATAAATTAAAATAGTGAAGAATACTCTTACACAAATTAAAATAGTGATTCATTTTTCTCTCCTAGACTCTTCCATACCTTTATTATCCATTTCAGTCATTTTTACAATTATCCGTCCTTTCTAATGCTTCACACACCTTAAATTCTTGAATTCACCGCCATGAAATTTTACCCTTTGGCATAAAACTTGATTTGCCAAGTGTCCCTAGCTACCTTTCTTATCCTTGTAGTCAGCTTGATCCACGTATTTATAGCACTTCTTCCTATTTTTTCTTTTTTCCTTTTTTATCCCATAACATTTATCAAACGCTTCTTTTTTCATCATCCATTTCCATCATTTGATCCAGAGTTATCGATGGTGGCCGATAGCGGCCCAGGCGGTGAACCTCCGTTATTTGATGTTTAGCGGGTAGTGGGAGTGGGGCGCTTCCCGGCCCGAGTGGGTTTGAACTGTTTTGAACGCGAAAACCCAAATTTACCCTTAAAATAAATAAATCTGGTTTGATTTTACATGTCTTTCATTACCTCTGTTTTTTTAAGTAGTAGTCATTTAATGACTCTATTCCTCTTCCTCTTTTATCTGTTTGGTTTTACATTCAATATATGTTTCTATAGATGCTTAAAAAATAGTCAAATAGTGGTTATCCTGCTATCCCATTTTTGGGTTGGCCGCTTCGCTCCGCTATCTGAGATTGATAACTCTGATTTGATCCTTGAAACCCCGTCTTGATCATTTCTATCTGCTATTACCTTGATGTGGGTAAGCAACCTTTTCCCCCGAATAACTATACAGTTCATCATAAGGAACTTTGCAAAGCAAAGCTTATTATGCTCTTGATGTATTTTAGTTAGTTAACTTAGTTTATCGATCTCAAATCTTTATAACTCAGTTCAAATATACATTTCAATTGTAAATTGTTAAGGCAAAACTTCTTAAGTATGTTGATCCTCGTTGTATACTAACCTGTGCGTTTGAGTGAAATTTAGATAAGTCAAGATTGGTACCGAAAAGCTTCAAGAAACCATGAAACATTAAAAGAAGTCCAAAGTATGTGATCTATGAGTATCCTCATTTCTATGATACTCAATGTAAGATGAATCAAGATCAACATCCAAGAGTTAGCTTTGAGTGAAATTATACACAAAGCCAGATTAGCTTACTAGGTGAGTTTGGCTTACTGTGTGTAGTTAGGGAGTGGTTAAAGTAAGGTTACTAGTATCTTTCTCCTTGATACACTAATGGAAAATCTCACAGGCGGTAAAGACAGATGTAGACCAACTATTTTGGGTGAACTACTATAAAAACTGTTGTGTGTTTCTTCTACCCCTATGTCTCTGCATTAAAATGTCGCTTCTGCATTATTACTCGCAAGTCAAGTTCATTTTGAGAGGCTTTTGTTCATAACCAATAACTTCTGTTGTAACAACGTTTAAAAAAAAACTATTTTTTTACATGATTTAAAAATACTCTAAAAACATTGATATTTAAATAATAAATATTGTGAGTATACTCTGTTTGATATTGTAAATAACACATATAATCTTTTCAACATTACATCTGATTCAAGTCTGTCCTCAATATTACAAGACTGTGTTAAATTTATCTATTCAGTAACTCGCCCTCTTTTGAGGATACTCTTTGAGTGCAGACTTAAAATTTTGTACCGGTCAATTCAACCCCTTACACCCTGTCCTTGTGACATGTGTTTATTTAATTCATAAATTTGTAATACAAAGATCATCATCGCATGATTATTGAACCAGATGTGTCCATGGAAAAAACAATGTAGTAATAATAAGTGATGTCAAGTAAGTAGTTACCTATTTTCTTCCAATGCTTTCCATTAAAAGCTGCAACAGCATTCCTTAATGTCTCATCCTACAGTACATTGAAGAACACAATAAGAACAATTGATATTAACTTTATATAAAAGCAGAGGTAATTGGTAATTTCAGAGACATACATAACAATATATGAAATGAACTGAATTCCCAATTCAATCAGCTTTCCTAACAAGGAAGAAAAGAAAACAGGTGTTCTCAATAAGCAAAGACTAACCTCCTCTGCTGTCCAACCACCTTTAGCACGCCTTATAGGACCGGTTGTCCTCCTGTACAAACATATCATATCGTGTAAGAATGCCACAGAAAATATTTGTCAAAAGTGAACAAGCCAACAGCAGATTAGTATTGCAACATCGTGAACATAATCCATTATTACTAGTATCGCAATAAAAAAAATAAGTAAAGAACTTAACGAACGTTACCGATGTGAGGGCGACGGCGGGCTACATATCCCCGGAGACTTATGAACTACACTGCCACTACCTTCAGACGCAGAGGAGCAAGAAGCAACAGTTGATTGCTTATTCTCCAAACAATACTCCTCTGATTTCACCTCAGCCATATCCTTCACAAACCTTCACCAAAACAAAACCCAAAAAAATCCTCATTCACAAATCCTTACATATACATCCACATAAAAATAAAAATAAAAACAATCTAATACCAAAACCATTAAAAACCCTAAAAACCACTCTCAAATCACAAAATTTCCAAACTTTCACAATAAACCACAAACACAAACCAAAACCAGATCTCAGAACACACAATCAGATCAAAACGTCCACCCAAACCAAACCAAAAACCAAAAAAAAACCGTTTTTTTCCCCAAACCAAATCAAAACCCCTTTCTTCAACCAATAAAAAACGCAAAAACAATCAAATCAATACGAAAAACCCTGAATTAACAAGAGTGAAATCAACACAAAAAAAAAATAACACAAATCGTGAAATTCTCGGAACAGTGAAGTACCTATGCTTTCACAGAAGTGGCGGGAATTGAACTGAAGCTCATAGAACCTTCAGAGAAAGAGAGAGATTGTGTTCTTCTTCTCTCGTTAAGCTAAGGTTTCGAAAAATCCTCGAACGTTGAATCAATGAAAAATTGAAATTCAATTCTAAATTAAAAATTAAAAATTAAAAAAATCGAAACAAAATTTTATTTATATTTCTGACTTTTTTTATTTATATATTTGTGAAATCCTTAAGCGTATATAACGTATACTACACATTTAGCACCGACGTCGCCGTTACTTACCGTTACGCTTGTGTGGTGTGTTTCTTTGCTCCGCTAATTAACGGCGGAAATAAACGTTAAGGGAATAAAAGTTTGAAACTCAAACGGCACTCAAGGCGTGATGGCGATAAATGTCGATGAATCTTAGCCGTTGGATTTAGAGATGTAAGTTTTTCAGGGTTTAAAGGATGTCAGGTCTAAGAAGGAAACGTTTTAACTAATTTGGTGGGTTAAAAAATTAATTGATTGGGTTAATTAATGTATTAGGGTTGTTATAACAAGTAAAAACATACTCTCTTTTTTTTTTGTAACAAATCCGCTAAAATCTGCATATTTATTTGATTTAATTTAAAGTTTGTTTTTCTTTTGGAAAGTCAAAGTATAATATTCCAATTTTAATAAACTTTTCTTTATAAAAAATCCAATTTTAATAATGTCTTTAAATTTTTAAATCATGCTAAGTTATAGAGTTTTTAAATAAATAACTATTTTTCAGTTTATTTTTAGACTATCCTTAGATACTTATTTTATATGATATAAAATGTTACATAGGATGTGTACAGTGACATGGCTTCTTTTTTTTCTTTTCTTTATAAATATTACTCCCTTTAATTATTGTATAAGAAGACTTTTATTTTTTAATTTATTAAATAAAGAATGAATTTGGACAGATCATATAAATTAATTATTTGAAGATTTTAAATTTAAAAATAATTTTTTTATAAATCGAACTTTCTTATCTCTTAAATTAATTATTTATTTGTAGGTGGGTAGGTGAATTTATTAGTTGACAGAGTTGTTTTATTAGTTTTTTTTTATATATAATTTGTTTTTTAGTAGTTTAATTGATGAAATTTCACTTTTAAAATGTAAATAGTTAAATTTCGGAGATTTGAGTATATGTCTTTCGTCAACTATCTTTATAAAATTATCTGATCGTACCTGATTAGAGTTGGACCGTCACAGTTGGTTCGAACTGGATTTGAAAGAGATGGGGGTACATGCAAGACACTCCGATGATAAAGTAAGAGACGGAATGAGCAGGTGAATTGTATGTAGGTGTGTAATGAATGAATACCTGACCCTCTTGAAATTGAGGGTATTTATAGCCTCCAGCGCTGGGCCAAGGTCCCTTTATTGGGCCGACCAAAATTGGCCCAACAAAGGGACTGTCAGGTTCTACGTGAGTAGTGGGGACCTGCACGTGGTCCCCTGCCTGAATGATGCTCTACGAAGAATAAGGAAGAACGAAGACGCAATCTTCCCGGAGCTCTAAGGACTCTGGAACATCCGGAGGGGCTGAGAGTCTGCCCTACAGGGAGGATGCTCGAGCAAGGCTCGGATTGGGATGTCCTTGGTCGGGGATGCCTCTCGTCGCGGGCAGCGGCGGGCATGGTCGTATTAGTCCTACAGCCCGTGACTGGGGTATGCTCGGGGGATCTGGTGTCCAGCATAGCACGTGGCATGGTTTGGATTGGGCCTTACTGGTGATTTGGGCCATGGGCAGGCCCAGTCCAGAACAAGAGTCCCCCAAGTCGTTGCTCCTGGTACAGGAGTTATGACTTGATCCCAGTCTGCTCTTTCGCGGGGACCTCGTGCCCGATGCCAGGATTTTCCATGTCGATGAGTGCTCGAGGAGTGCTCGCGGGGATGCGTCAGTTGCGTCTGTTGGACACGTGGTGTAGTCCTTGGAAATCACAATGTCGTCCTAGTGAATAGGGCCATCATTGTCTAGGCAAGTAGACGTCGAGGACGGGGGCGGTTCGTGGTTCCCCGGCGCGACGTTTCATACTCCACGTCATCTATATAAATAGGATTCCAGGGGCCATGGTTCGTTTCACCTCTTCACGCTTCTCATATTTTCTTTGTTTTTACTGTCGTGAGTTTCCATAACACCGTTGAGATCGTTGCGCCGTTCGTCGTCCGATTACTTCCACCACCGTCGTTCTTCGCATCTTCTTCCAAGTAAGTGTCCTTTCCCTTTGATTTCTCGCGTTGTAGATAGTTTTGACGACGTTTTACTAGTAGAAACTTGTGTCTGGGTATTATGCCCGGTAGATTTAAGCGCGCTAGGCGCCTGATTCATGGTTGTGCCCGAGATATTCATAAGTTTAGGCATATGGTTCATGATCTTGCCCGTGATACTCATGCGTTAGGCTAATAGATTCATGAACTCGGTCGGGATATTCATCCTTTCATTGGTATGTAGGCTAGTTTCCCTGTAATGTTCTTGTACCGGGTAAGCAAAATTATGAACTTGGTCGCGGGATTCATGCTTCGCCTGGGGTACTGATGTTATGCTCGCGTTGTTCATGATTGATGTGCGGCTGGCGACGGGGTGTCGGTGTTTGGTTGAGATCCATTTGTTTCCCGTTTCTCGCGCAAATAGTTGTAGACTCGATTTGAGTGTCGCTTACTTCTCCCTGTCTTTGTGACGGGCAAGCGGATTTGCTGTTGAATTCACCGGTTTCCTGTACTTTGCAGGTAAATGGCTGACATTCCCGAGTCCTCGGGGCGTAACGACATCGAGGAGACGAGCACAACGGAAGAGACTATTACCTTGGTCGACACCGTCGATGACCCCACACTGGATTGGATGGGTGCCGAGCCCCGGGGAATAGCTTCGGTGTATATCCATCGTAGTAGACAAGCTTATATCGTCGTCGAGTATGGCGGTAGTCAATAAGGGTTTCAAAGGAACTTTAAGATAATGAGGTCGGCGAGGGATGCTTGCATCTGTTCAGAGTTCACCCAAGATGCGTTTCTTATGTACGAGATCGTGTTCAAAGATCTTGGTTTTCGGTTGCCCTTCAACGACTTCCAGGTCGGGGTATTCAACCATCTGAACCTGGCCCCCTCCCAACTCCACCCCAACGCGATTGCCTTTCTCCGGGCATTCGAGCTCACTTGTCGTTTCCTGAGAATTGGGGCGACGATTCCCCTATTCTTCAGGGTTTTCCACCTACAACGGCAGTCCCGATGAGGGAAACACAGTTGGATGTCCCTTAAGCAGTCGAAGAGGCTGTTTAGGATGTACATGGACTCAGTGCGGGATTTTAAAGACAAGTGGTATATATTGCAACCGTCCACCCAGACGGCCTTAGATTCTTTGTTCGAACCGACCACTGTGGTCGACGAGGATGGGGAGCCCTGTTTGGACGCCGAGGGTAATCCCGAGGTCGGGCGGATCTCCAAATTTCCCATTCATTGGTGCTCGGGTCATTACGACCATGGTTCTGGGCACTACCATACTCCTGCTGGGGGTATGAGTGCCGAGGACGAGGAGGCTTATGGCATCCTAAACAAGTTTTTTGATGGCTTCTTTCCTGCTCGGTGGGTCACTAGGGAAGGGGACGACATTCTTGACGAGGATGGTTATTCGATGTTCGAGGCGCGCTCGATTAATACCAAGGCGCTCGTTGAATGCCAATCTTACAGGCAGGTCGTAGATCTCTTAGGTTTCTTGCTTTGCTCTTATTGTTATTCCTTTTTAATTGCCTTTAACCGTACGTAACTAACCCTGGTTCGCTTCCCTTGTAGGTCACATGGCGGAGCGTCATGAAAGATTGCTAAAGTTTACCCAGGACAAGAAGATAAATAAGAGGCTGGTGAGACCGCAACAGGCCACGCAGATGGTCCCGCCTACTGATTTGAGCAGAGAAGGATCCAGTGGATCCTCGGGTTCTCCCGACACCGAGCGCCAATATGCGCTGGTCAGCAGGAAGCAGAGTCGGCCAGAGGATGGAGCGGAAGCGACTGATGAGCCTATTGCTGCCCGGGATTTTAGCTTACCGCCTTGCTTTGTGGAGAAGGACTTCTTTGAGGGGTTTCCCCTGACCGTGCCTGACAATGATGCCGACATCATCAGGCAGCTTGACAAGGAAGGTCGGAGGAAACACCTTGCTGCTAGTATGGTTAGAGTGGTAAAGATGGTCGAGATGGTTGTGGTCCTCGCGGGGGAAGGATCAGATTCTACGGACCATGTTAGAGAGCTGGAATCGGAGAAGAGGGCTCTTGCGACCAAGTCTCGCAAGTTGAAGGCAGCCCTCGAACGATCCGAGGAAATGTTCCGCGAACAGGCTGATTTGCTGTTGGGGGAGAAGGAGAGGGCTGGCAAGGCTCTCGAGGAGAGAGATTGCCTTCAGCTCGATAGGGAACGGCTGGAGAGCGACAACCAACGGTTGTCGAGGGAGATTGAGGAGTTGAAAGTCGTTATGCTTCCTGTCGAGGATGAGCCAGAGGGGATGGTCGACTTGCATACACGCTCGGTTTTTATTGCTCGCATCCACCTCCTAGAATCAGATTGCGTTGGCTCTTTAGCCGACGGG